ACATCTATTGCTGATGCCATCAGTGCAATAGATATAAGTGCTGTGAAGATCTAAATAAAAGAATATAAATATTATTAAAACGCGTAAGCTTTATAACAGATTCTTTAATAGTACTTAGGCAAAACCTCTATAGACACATTAAAGTGTCTATTCAGGGCACAGGATGGTCCAGTTTTCAAAAAAATCTTTATGTTTAGAATTTCCAATTAAAATTTAGCTCTGATCTTTTTTAGAAAATATGTGGGCAACGACAGTGCATATTATAAAAATATTTTCATAGATATAATATAGAGTGATTGAAATATATTTCTACACTAAAGTTGCAGTTTTTAAACAGCAAGCTGTATATAAAAGCAGCATATATATGTATGTATATCTAATTTTCTCTATATAATTTTACCACCCTATATCTCAAAAGGTAAAAGGTTTATCTAAGAACAAACTTAAACAGAGCATGTCTTTACGGAACATCCTATATGTACTGATTATAGAGAGTGAGTCATAAGTGCAAATATTTTGAGGGCTGGTAGATCTTGATAAAAGAAATCTATTTTCTCTTTACCGTTCAAATAAGTCCAAAATAACAGAGTTATTTTATTTGAAAATTTGTTTAAATTTTGAGAACCACTGGATCTTTTCTGGGTTTTCTTTTTTGTAAATTTAATCTACCTATGTTGCCAAATTATCAAGATATTTTGTCTTTTTAACTAAAAATTTAAAAAATTCACAAAATTTTTTTCAAAAAATTCCAAATTTTCAATTTGTTTTTTTTTTCGCGAAAAAAATGTCATTCTGGACTCGAATTACACCATCCCTAAAAATACTTGCACTTATTTAAGACTCACCCTGTCTATTATCATATACCGTATAATAGAAACAAAAGGCCATTCAGTTAACTTATTAGAAATAACGATCAATGACATACATACAAAATCATAACGATCTTCAAAATACTATAATGTCATATTCTGTACCGAGTAGCTTTTTTCGTTTTCCTGTTATTACCGATTCTGAACCGTCCTAGAATTGTGATGCGTATGCGCAGAAGGAAATATGAAGACATTATTTCATTTGCGCATGCGCTGGAGAGTTCTAGGACGATTCAGAATCGATAATAACAGGAAAACGAATAGACCTAGTAGTTTCTGAAATATGTATGACCATTTGTAAAGAAAATTTACCACTTATTTTGAAGAGCTATTAGATTGAAACTGCAAGTGTTGATATATATATACAGGGTACAATGATATATACAGGGTAAGTCAAAACTAAATTATGTATTTTGTATCATAAGCGAACAGAGTTTTTAACATCTTTGTTTTTATTAAGCACTTAAAAAACAATGCTTGCTGAGAAAACTATTTAATTTTTTGAAAATATAACACAATACTTGTCTGTTTGGCTCATTTAATAGTAGGGTTTTGTCAAAAGTAATATTACTATCTACAAAAGAGTAGACTAAAACTAAAAAAAATGATTAAATCCATAATGAAATTTTCATTTGGCAAATTAATAAATACAATTTATTGTATTGATGAGATGGAAATATTCATTTGAAAACGGAAAATTAATTATTTCCAATTAAAAATAAAAATAGGTAATTCGAAATTTTGTAATTATGGAGAGATGGTCATATTTGAAAAACCATTTGACATAGTATGTAACATTTAACATAGTATACGTTTGCCCAGAAAATTTAATAACAAAAGATGCAATTTCAGTTAAAAAAAAATCACCCTGTATATTCATAAAAATATTAAAATGTACTTGCATTGCTGGTATACAGGGTGAGTCTTAAACAAATGCATATATTTTTTAGGTAGTATATTTCGACCCCAGAAACACGTGTATGATTAATAAAAATTTGGAATTTTTTGAAAAAAAATTGGATTTTTTTTTAGTTTTGAGTTAAAAACCATAATTTCTTGATAATATGGCAACATAGGTAGTCGATTAAATTTACAAAGAAAACACAGAAAAGATCCAGTGGTTCTCAAAATTTAAGCAAAAAAAATATATTTTTTAATTTTCAATATAAAATAACTCGGTTATTTTAGACTTATTTTGGAGAACGATAAAAAGAAAATCTGTTTCTTTTATCTAGATCTACCAGCCCTGAAAATATTTGCACTTATTTAAGACTCGCCCTATATTTTATAAAAAAATTAAGTTATTAATAAAATAAGTAAATAAAAAAAAATAATAAATTAAGTAAAAATTTTAAACCAGAAACCTTTTGAGCTTTTCCGTCATCATCCTGTATGATCTTATTTACTCACATGGATGGTACAAAATTAAAAAAGTGTACTTATCACATTTACTTTTTCAAAAATATAATATGAATCTATGAATTATTTTTTTAGATAATATATATTTGAAATTATAAGGCAATAAGAGTTCAAAAATAGTTAAAGAAAACTTACCTTTAAATTATACATCGTTATCTAGATTAATACACTAGGGACAAACTACAAACACGTTGTCACCAAACTATCCTCCACATTACTAAATAACTTTCCACCGAACCTTTAAGGCACAGTAAGGTAGTTTAAATTTAATTGCCTCTAGTTATTCCAAATATTTTGCATTTTGCAAATTACCTAACTTTCTTTTGACAATAATTATTAACTTGACCCTTGATGATTCACTCAGAACGGAAATAATCCTATTATTCGTTTATTACAAGGTAATAGAGTTATAAAATACCAACCATTGTGAATTATTTAGAAATCTATATTAAAGTTGCGCCTACACATAGCGTTTTACCTGTCAATCTTACATGTTCAGTCAAAACGTATCAACTAAAACTTGTGCATAGACGAAAAACCGGTCCATTTTACTTGAACTGAACAGTTTTATAACAATATACTTTTATTTTGCCTAAAAAAAATATAAGTAAATTTGCAAAAAATAATTTGGATATATTACAGTATCTTTAATAAGCGACTTTTAAAAATGTAATATTTTTGTATAGTTTCACAAAATAACATTATTTTACATAATATTTAATGATTATTACCAAACGATCCTATTTTACAAATTAGCTTGGTGTGTTTATGAATAAAATTTAAACCATAAATACTCTATTTTGTAGTAAATTTTCCTGTTTTTTTTCTTTCGTTTCACCATCACACAAAAATAAGAATCTTTTTTTTTTGTAAGATAGTACTGATAGAGTGCTATCAGGTGGTCGGATGTCTTCTTCGAGAAGAAATGCAAAATTTATAATGGTAAACAGTTTAATATACAGGGTGAGTCTTAAATAAGTGCAAATATTTTCAGGGCTGGTAAATCTCCATAAAAGAACCATATTTTCTCGTTACCATTTTTCAGGTAAGTCCAAAATAACCGAGTTCTTTAAGTTTGAAAATTTAAAAAAAAATATTTTTTTTTTTAAATTTGAGAGCCACCGGATTTTTTCTGTATTTACATCCCTTTTAGTGCCGTAACCATGGAGTAAAGCCGTAACTATGGTAATATCAGAGATTAAGAAATTATACCGTGGGAAAATTCGCGGTGAACAGGCAGTTCTAAAAAGTTTTCGAAAAATACACAGGGAAATTTAAAAGAAAATGCACGATTTTCAACATCTTTTTTTGCGAAAAAAACCTTATAAACATGTTCCTGAGGTCGAAATATACCACCCCTGAAAATATTTGCACTTATTTAAGACTCACCCTGTATATCATCACTTTAAAACAAATAATAAAAGTATAAAATCAGCATTAGTAAACAGAAAAAAACTACGACAAAGACTGGTAATTGTTTCAGAGATATTAATAAATATTAAACAAAAAAACAAAAAAGAAACAAGACTAAAAGAAATGTCCTGAAATCAAAACTGTACTAGATAATTTACTATAGTTGGTCTGTGCTTATCTTGCTATAAATATTGTAAGCTTTAACCATACAGGGTGTTCAAAATCCTATGGCAAAATTTCTAAAATATAAAATAATTTTTCTTCGTCTGTTTAAATGGAACACCCTGTATATTTTTTTTGTTAGATGGAGAATTAAAAAACGAACATTTTTCGTATTTAAAGTATTTTAAAATGTTGGCGGTTGCACAAATATTCGCGTTTCTCTCAACGGTAAAATATCAGACAAAAATCATTAGGTAGCTTTGATAAAAAATTACTGTTGAAACCCCCATATGTAATATAATATTACGAATATCCACAAAACCGTTAAAAATTTTTAAATGCTTCATCGTACAAAGGAATAATATACAAGGCGTTCCATTTAAAAATACGAAGAAAAACTATTTTAAATTTTAGAAAGTTTGGCGTAGAATTTTGAACATACCGTATGATTTAAGATTACGACATTTATACCAAAGTAAGTATAGACCATCTAAAGTAAATACCTAATATAGTTTTGGTTTCAGGATAGTTCTTGTATTTTTAATAATCTTTTTAAGAAAGGCCGAAAAATATATATTTTTTATTTATTTATGAATATCTCTGGAACTTTCGTAATATCTGTGATAATATATTTACTCATATCTTAGGATTATATAAAGTCATCTGAAAGAAAGCCAAAAATGCAATAATATACAGAGCGTTCCATTTAAAAAAAAAGCATCCCGATCCACTTACCGTTTTTTTGAACCACCCTGTAGAAGTTAAAATATTTTCCTGAAATATATCCTAATACATACTTTAGGTTTGAACTTAAACAAAACTCCCAAGATTTTTATTCTAGGAGCTACAACAGTTGCCCGACACACTATAGCCGGACCCTGTGTATGTTGCTTATAAATTTTAGTATTAAGTTCTCAATAACATAATCTAAATTATAAAAAAAATTCTCTTTTTTACATCTCCACAAAAATAGCCTTTTTTAAACTCATTTATCAAATATTTTGTTTTATTATTAAATACCAAAGCTAACTGCATTCATTGTATAAATTAAAAAAAAAACGCAACACAAAATTGAATGCACTTTATTTACAAATCAACAAGCCTATACAAAATACAAATATTACAAATATATAATAATCAATATGGTCCATACCAGGGAACAGGTTTTATTTTAAACCCCCTTATCTCTTGATTCTGTGAGTGATTACCTCTCACCTTACCACTCCCTTCTAAAAAGTCTCGAGGAGGTTTGGTTTTCGGTAGACCATGTTCAGGAGCTACACTCTCCCAAGGTCCACCGAATATGCCACCTGGAAGAACACCCAGTGGCGGTATGTGGTAGTTCTCTGGAGCAGTACGTTCTTCATGGTACTGTACCTTCCTATGCTTCTTCCGTTCCCGATAACTTCCAAAAGGCTTTAAACGAGATTGAGTTGATATTTGAGCAGATTTATAAGGTATAGTTTCAGGATTAATTGGTGTTATAGCTTCTTGTGATCTCGGAAGACTTCGTTCAATGTGAGCTTTATGGTTAACTTCTGTTACGTATTCGTGAGGAACGCCATACTCTGAAGAAGGTTGAATAACGTTAATCTTATAAGAACTCGGTACATTCACATATGTTTGTGGTACATATTGAGAATTTAAAGTTGTTGCTTTAGTATGTTGATTATTATGTTGCCTATGCAATAATAATGTCTTTAGATTGTTAAAACTAGCTTGGTTTGAACGAGTTGCACCTCCTGAGATGACTGAACGCTCTGTAGCTAATAATAGACTCTTGCTTGCTGAAATTTTGTCACTATTCAAAGAATCGTGATGAAAAGATGAGGATGATAATTCATTGCCAAATAATTTATTAGATTTCTGTGTTGGAACTCCATACTCTGTAGAAATTTTTGGCTGGGTTGTGTGATTATTCTCACTCCACGATTCTAAGGTTTTTACCTTTGGTAACCCATACTCTTCTCTAATATCTGGATTTACCGGAGAACTTGTAGCTTCATTCTGAGCTTTTACAAGATATGGTGGATATTCTGAGTAATATGTATTACTTGCAATATCTAAAGATTTTACTTTGGGTAATCCATACTCATTTTTAATATTATTAATTATTGGTGAACCAGTAGCTTCTTCATGATCTGGTTCACTTAGTGGTGGATATTGTGGGTAATAATGTGGATTACTCTCTAGCTCTAAAGTTTTTACTTTTGGCAATCCATACTCCTCCCTAATATTGTGAGCTAATGGAAAACGTTTAGCTTCATCGTGAGCTATTAAAGAGTATGGTGGATATTCTGGGTAATTGTGAAGATTACTTGGTGCCTCTAAGGTTTTTACTTTTGGTAATCCATATACCGGAGAACTGGTAACTTGGTGGGTTGTAACAGGTAGTTGTGGATAGTCTGTCTGTAAGCTTTTTGTTTTTGGTAACCCATACTCATCACTAACACCGTGAACTTTATACACACCGACATAACCTAGAGCAGTGTTACTTCTAGACGCTTCCACTACATCAGTATCTGCATCTCCAGCTATTGCTGTAGAAACGGGAGTTTGTTCACTTGATGTTATAATATGTGGTGTATATTCTGGATAATAATGAGGCCGATACCAATCACCATGTCTACTACCTTGAAAAAATCTCTCAGTAAAAGATGTTGATGGATTGGCATTGTGAAACACTGACGAAAAGATTGGGTTATGGAATACAGATCGCTTATTTCTTGGATGATGTGGTGTCGGACTTACTGATGAGATGACAAACAGTAGCAGGAGTAGTTTCTAAAAATAATAAAAATGTGTTAATTTAACATAAGAGAAGATAAAGAACTATACAGGGTGGTGACAATCCCGATGCTCCAAATTGGCATCTCAGAAACTACGAGAGATACGAATTCGGTTAAATGGGACAACAGTTGCGTAATTAGAAGTGTGACAAACACCTATGAAGAAAACCCCGGTATCTTGATTAGTTTCGGATTTATGTCAAAAAAATGAAAATAATACGTTTATTTTAAATGACAATGTCTTCAGAACTAATATTGTATCTATTGCAACGTAAGGTGGTATTTTTATAGTTTTGACCTCGGCCAATTAAATGCCCTTTTCAGAAAATTTCAAGCAAAAAAACAGTCAAGTTTTTATTTTCTTATGGCAGCCATTTTAAATCTTTATACTATTAGATAAAGCGACAAAAAGTCTCTACGGTGGTATCTAATTTTTATTCATTATTATGTAAATTCACTAAAAAAATAGATTTTTTAAAAAATCGTCTAGTATCAAGTCTGCCTTGAAAATCCAATTGACACTTTATATGTCAGCAAGTTATTTTTTGTTTATTCTATTAAGCGTCAAATTTGGACGCACAAAATAATTATTATATTTAATAATTTTCTCTACATAATATACACATAATCACTTATACAACACTCGCGACTTATTTTACGGCTAGAAGTTTCCGGATTTATTTCAATCTGAGCTGGCACATTATTAAGTCTTTTAAAATATTGCCCTCTTGTTTTTTAAAGCTACCAGCAACTGCTAAATTTCCTGAAATCCTTGCGAAAGTAGTACGATGAGGCTGTGTCCTTTCAGGATACAATGTTCTATAACTTGCGGATGCCATATCGTAATTTCTATTTAAACATCATACATATCTCGTGTTTCCTCACTTGTGAACATATTGTTGACTGTTAATACATTTTACACTATCTACTATAAAATTTTGTGTCCAGAAATGACACTTAATAGAGTAAACAAAAATGAACTTGCTGTCATAAAAAGTGTCAATTCGATTTCCAAGGCAGACTTGATCTTAGGCGAATTTTTAAAAAATGTATTTTTTTAGTGAATTTACATAATAATGAGTAAAAATTAGATACCACCGTAGAGACTTTCTGTCGCTCTATCTAATAGTATAAAAATTGAAAATGGCGTCCATAAGAAAACAAAAACTTGCCTGTTGTGCGAAATCTAGAAATCTTAGAAATTTTCTGAAAACGGCATTTAATTGGCCGAGGTAAAATATATAAAACTACCAACTTACGTTGCAATAGATACAATAGTTCTGAACCTATTGTCATTTAAAATAAACGTATTATTTTCATTTTTTTAACATAAAACCAAAACTAATCAAGATACCGGGATTTTCTTCATAGGTGTTTGCCAAACTTGTAATTACGCAACTTTTGTCCCATTTAACCGAATTCGTATGTCTTGTAGTTTCTGAGATGCCAATGTTAAGCATCAAAATTGTCACCACCCTAAATAGTAGAATAAAAAAATAGCCACATATTTCCTTCGGGCATTCGTATCACAGTTCTAGGACGGTTCAGAATCGGTAATAAAAAAAAACAGAAGACCGAAAAAAACCGCGGCAGGGATGGCTATGTATCTATGTAGGATTGGCATTTCCAAGCCAATTGGACGCCGTTTTTTATCGATTATACGGTATAAACAAGTCTAGTAGTCCCTAAAAGGTCAGACAAATATATCTATACATTTAAAGAATACTTTCTAGTGGTTTATAACGTTATAAATTGAGTAAAATAGCATATTCATATCAAATATAGTTAAAAAACATTTTAAAAAAATGCTTACCATCCAATGGTCCATTTTTTAACACGTTAAACACCCAAAGATGGTTTGAAATAGACTAGTTTAAATAACCATTTCTCAAATATTTCAATGTCAACATAATGTTACCTGAAAAGACCGAAATTGTTCAATATCCAGTTGTGAATATTTTGGGGTATTTCTTCAAGGGACAAACAACTTTCGTTCAGGTAAGCATCATATAATTTAAAAGCTATTAACTTTATTAGGCTTGGGATGGCCCATGCTTTCGTAACGTGTATATCAATAGAAACAATTTGTTTATCTAAATATTAAATATTTTAAATAATACTACAAGGTTTCCAAAACTTTTTTTCATTTACACTTCCTGTCATTGTTAGGTGGAGTTAGGTATATACCTGGTGCGTCTCAAGAGTGGCTCACCCCTGTAACTTTTTTATTTTACCAGATAAAAAACGAGATTCGGTGTGTTAGTATATGACATAAATTAGGATTGTTTGACGTATTCAATTCTCTTCGACCACTTCCTGTTTCACCGGAAATAACTTTTGATTTAAAAAAAAACTCGGTATTTTTTTACTTTTATTCGATAGAAAATGACATTCTGAATAGAATGACATATCATATGTCAACTTTTGACATTTTTGCTTAAAACAAAATTGAATTGTAAATTTCAATCTAGAGTGCCATGGATGTGTTAAAAATATTAATTTTTAATCAAGGAGCCTTGGAAAAATAGATTTGATCGTCAAATGTTATTCGTACCTTGTCCTGGCCGGTTAAAAGATGCCCAAATCGTATTTTTAATCATATCTCAATTTTTTCAAACGGAACGAGGGTGGCTCATTAGCATATTTAGAAAAAGTATTTTTTACGAATAATTTGGTACCACACACTTGGTATTTCGAGTCAAATTGTCGTTATGAATCGCATGTTACAATTTCAAATTAACCATATTCAAAAATGTCAAAAGTTGACATATGATATGTCATTCTATTAAGAGTGTCATTTTTTATCGAATAAAGCAACAAAACACCTAGGGTACCATTTAAAAATCAAAAGTAGTAGTCATTTCCGGTGAAACAGGAAGTGACAGAAAACAATTGAATACGTCAACCAATCCTAATTTATGTCATATATTGAAATACCAAATCTAGTTTTTTAAACTGAAAAAAAAAGTTATAGGGGTGAGCAACTTTTGAAACGCACACGGTATAGTAAAATCTATTGCTTCTTTTATATATATAGGATCCTATATCTCCTACGCGAAGCAAAGGGCTTCAGTGAAAGCTCTCCATCGGGTTCTGTTTTTGGCAGTTGTTTTTGCTTCCTTCCATGTTGACCCTACTTGTTGAAGCTCATCCAGTATGGAACGTCTCCATGTTTGAGCAGGTCGTCCTTGCTTTCTTTTTCCTTGGGGATTCCACTCCAACGCTGATCTCGCTATATTACTATCAGGTTTCCGCAAAGTGTGACCTATCCAACCCCATTTTCTTTTGCGGATTTCAATGCCTACTTCTTGTTGGTTTGTAAGATGAAGCAGGTCGGTGTTACGTATAGTGTCTAGCCAAAAGATTTTAAGTATTTTCCGCAAGCAGCGATTGATAAATACCTGTGGACGGTTGTTGACAGCCATATAATAAAACTGGTATGACGTTGGAATTGAATATTCTTAATTTTGTTTGTATGGAGAGTTGACGGGAGGTCCAAACTGATTTTAGTTGGCCAAAGGCTCGCTGCGCCTTCCTGATCCTGCTGACAATATCCGCGTCTGCACCACCGTTTGCTGTTACAATACTTCCCAGGTAAGTAAACTCTGTTATATTCTCGACATGTTTGATTCCTACATTGAATGGAGTGTTGTTGTTTGTGTTAATGCGCATTGACTTTGTTTTGTCGATGTTTATGCTTAATCCTACTTTGTCTGCTTCTGTTTTTAGACGTCTGAGCATCATTTCCATGTCTTTGAAGGATTGCGTTGTGAGACAGATATCATCAGCATAATCAAGATCCGTCAGATGCGATGTCAGAGTCCATTGTACTCCCCTAATGTTTGCTGTGGCTTTAGTCAAAACGCTGTCGAGCACAATATTAAATAAAAGCGGCGATAATGTGCAACCCTGCTTTACTCCTGTCCCTAAGTTAAAACTGTCGCTGGTTCTACCGTTGTGCAGCACATTGCATTCTGTGTTTCTGTAGAGTTTCTTGATTATATTAATTAGTTTTCCGGAACACCTTTTCTTTTAGAGTTTTCCATACCATCGCATGGGGGATACTGTCAAAAGCTTTGACGAAATCTATAAATAATAAGAATAAAGGTGACCTAAATTCTATTGACTGCTCTATGATAATGCGCAATGTGTTAATATGGTCAATGCACGAGTGGTTCGATCGGAAACCAGCTTGGTTCTCTCTCAGAGTAGGCTCTATATAGGAGTTTAACCTTAAATGAACTATAGAGGATATTATCTTGTGAATGGTGTTTAACAAAACAATACCTCTCCAGTTGTCACAGTTAGTGGTATCTCCTTTTTTAGGGAGTTTAATAATGAGACCCTGTTTCCATTCATCTGGGATGATGTTAGATACCCAAGCTCGTGTAATTAGAGGATGCAGTATGTCTGCTGCTGTGCTAGGATCTGCTTTGAGGAGGCTTCTTTTATACATTATAAATAATATATTATATAGTACACCCAAATGTAAAAGAACTGGTACAGTATATTCAACGAGAAAATGTATGATTGCGTCAGTAGTTGTTCTCTCTCACTTTTGTTGGCTTAAAGCATGCTTAAAGCTTAAATTCGTCACTGTCGTTCATATCTTATTTAAAAAATTGTAGGTATATGTGCATTAATTTAAAAATAGATGCATTTTTTCTTAAATTACTTAAAATCGGCTTGTTCAAAATTATTCAAATTTTGCATATGGATTCTGCATACAAGTAGACATTTAGACAACCAATAATTTAAGACTTGGCTGTAAAATAAACAGGTTCCGAAATAAAACATCCAACAATGACAATATATTTTTATTTCTTTTCATTTAATTGTTTTAAGACACATTTGAACGACAGGTCCTACAGACCTATTGCTTTAAAATTTCAACATAGATACATATGTTTAAAAGTCGTTTTATATAAACACAGTAGTATTATTATTTCAAATTTTGATAAATCGCATCCAGATCCAAAAACAAAATTACTCTTAAATCTATGTATAATATATTATAATAATATCTTATTATTAATAATATAATTGCTTCTGGTATTGCTCAAATTTAATAATATTAATTTTACACAAAAAAGCATATACAGGGTGACCCAAACAAGAAAAATATTACATTTGCGTATTTATATCTTGTACTTGATTATAATTATTGTCAAATAGTCTCTATCTATCCCAATATCTATATAAGTAAATTCTTAGTTTATAATATATGACTTACCATTAAATATATATTTTTTGTGCCAAAATATATACGTTCTGATTTCTCTTCATCTTTTTATACATTAATATTTGTTTATGAACGGTTGCGATTTATCAAAATTACTGATTCTATCACAATAGTTCTTATTTCCTTTTGAAAATTAAAACTTTTTAAAAAATATACACATATTTATAGGTTAAAATGTTTCGTCCTTGTGTGATGCAGTATTTTCGTCATATGAGATTTAATTTATTTTACTAAAGTTGTGTTTTTAAGTTGATATATTTGGTTTAGATCTTGGAGGTTCTTCTAATTTCGCTTCTCTTTTAAAATAGATTTTACTATCTGGTCGATATCTGGTTACTTCCGCATCTTCTTTTTCCAATTCTGTCTCCAAAAGCTATAAAAAATATAATAATTATTTGTATTAGTGTACGATGTGTGTTTTTTTTACTTATTACTGATGATCTCAGTAATTATAACGTTTATTTTTATTTATAGGCTTGGTGCATTTCAGTTGATTTGAAAAAATTCCAACCGCAGCGCTATATACGGCAGAAATCAGAAATTTTCCCGGTTAAAGTCCACGTTGATCCCATAAAAATAATATTGAAATCGTGGCTTTGTCATAATATTTAAGTATTTTAGATTTTTGCTAGTGCAGTTATTGAAAGTATAAAAAAATAAGTGAAAAAGTAATTTCAAATGTTAATAAAATTGCCGAAAAATGTTAACGCGTAGAGGAGAGCGTAATTAGGGTGTTGTTGGGTGCATAACATTCAATAACTCAACATTCCCGGATATTCAACTCTCCCGAAACAACAATAGCTTTATAGTTTCTCACCGATTGATCAAAAGCAAAAATGGATTCAAGCAGTTCGACAAAACAAGTAAGTAAACAAAATGCTCGTTACATAATCAAAAAATTAAATAGACATATACTACGAGCCCTAACAACTATATGTTGGGACAAGGTCATATTATGGAATTATTGCCCTGGTTTTTCAAAATGACTGAAAAATATATGTTTAATTTTTTAAATATAAACATAGCCATATATCCTAAACAACTTGACAATATTTTTATGAATTTGTAAATCAATCCATACTCGATACTTTGAGTAGTGAGATTTGCTGTAAGAAATTTAAATTTTTTTAATTTTCAATTTTGTTAATTTAATCCAAAGTAATGGTCCGTGGAAAAGCTACAAATCAAAAACTACGCGAAATTATCATTCGTCAATACAGTACGGGAAAAATAATTCGAAAAATTTCTGATGATTTCTGAAGTATTCCAAAAACCACGGTCTTTAATATAATAAAAAAAATACGGCGAATCTGCCAACGTAGACGTTAGAGGTCAAAATTCGGGAAGGCCAAAAGTTGTATCTCAGGGAGATTTACGAAATTTAGTAAAAATTTGCAAGTCTGCGAGAAGTACTCTTTGCGAAGTAAGAGTTAAATGGAATACTGTAACTGGTTTAAATATATCAAGAGAATGTTGCCGAAAATATATCCACAAATGCGGTCTGGGGTTTTACAAGGTAAACTTTATTTTGTGTGGATAATCAATTACATGAAGATTATTGATACAAATTCATATTTAGGCCAAAGAAAAACCGCTACTGACAGAAATTCAAAAGAAAAATAGCTACACTTGGGCAAAATTTAAATTATCGTGGACACAAAATGATTGGAATAAGGTCATATTTAGCGATGAGTCTAAATTTGATGTTTGCGTTGGAGATCATCGAAAACGAATAATACGAAATAAAGCAGAAGCCTTTCATAAAGATTGCTTAAAGGGGGTTGTTAAATTTCCTAAGGGGATTATGGTTTGGGGTTGTATGTCAGCAAGAGGTTTGGGCAAATTAAATTTTATAGATGGCACTGTTAACGCTCAAAAATATCAACATATTCTTGAGACCTCACTTTTGCCTAGTGCTCAAGAATTGTTTCCAAACGAAGACTATATTTTCATTTTCCAACAAGATGGAGCATCGTGCCGTTCAGCAAGATTAACTAAGAATTGGTTCGGTAATAATAATATAAAAGTTCTATCCCATCCTTTAAGTAGTCCGGACCTCAATGTTGTAGAAACTGTGTGGCATAAAATGAAGCAATATTTAAGAAACCACACTCAACGAACAATTTTTGATTTGCGGACAAAACTGCAGGAAATTTGGGATAATTTTTCTCCTCAATAGTGCCAATCTTTGGTAAATACAATGCCATTAAGAGTTCAGGCAGTTGTTAAGGCGAAAGGTGATGTAACTCCGTATTAAACAAATTTCTTTTTGTGCTGTCCCAATATATAGTTGTCAGCAAATTTGGCTTGATTTTGTCAAAATATGCTATTATCAAAAGTGATTTGTTTGCAAAGTTATAAAAATATGGTAAAATTGTCTAGATCATATTGTAATGTTTGAATTTAGAATAATAAACAAAATACATTGAGTCGTTTTAACAAATTTCTATTTTTATTGCAAAAAAGACCTTGTCCCAACATATAGTTGTTAGGGCTCGTATGAGAAGATAAAATATGATTTGCAATACGCAGAAAGAAAAATCGTGGGTGTTTGGGAAGGCTCAAAAGAAAACAATGTTTTTGAGAAAACATATATTAATCCATCTTATGCCTAACGTATATCATAACGTACAGGGTGACAATTTGAAAAAGAACAGTATTTAACATTACTTCTACCGATGATAGTATGAAAATTTGGGGAAATACGTCAATTTACATATCAAGAGGGACAATTTTTGAGGCATTTGTTGTCCTGTTACTTTCAACCCTTTGACCCCCAGGGCACCTACCCCTAAAATTTTAAATGGCAACCCCTATTTCTTTTACCATTTTTATGTTCCTTATAAAATTCTCAAAAAAATTATGCAGTTTATGTAGAATTCTATAAGAAACACAAAAATGGTAAAAGAAATAGGGGTTGCTATTTAAAATTTTAGGGGTGCCCTGGGGGTCAAGGGATTGGAAGTAACACGACAACAAATGCCTCAAAAATTGTCCCCCTTGATATGCAAATTGACGTGTTTCGCCAAATTTTCATACTATCATCGGTAGAGGCAATATTAAATACTGTTCGTTTTCAAATTGTGACCCTGTATATTAATCCATATTATGAAACGTCGCAAAAACATTGCTTCCCTTTCGAGCCTTCCCAAACACCCACGATTTTTTTCTTTCTGCTTACTAATTATTACTGGGAACTAACAATAATCATAATAATTTGCAATATTAATGGTATACTTTTTTTAATCAACTAGTGATTAACTGTTTTAAGAACATCTTCTAAAATTATAATCATGTACTTTTAAAAAATTTCGCTATGGCCGAAATAGCCCCAATTATGACCCCACTAGCAAAACTGGTAATTAAAACTATGCTCGCTACCGTAGTTGAACTCATCTAATTTTTTTTAGCTGGAATAATAAATTATAATACAAATAGACCTTCTGAAGATATAAAAATATTTACTTTTTTATTTTTTATTTTAAGAATTTTCACTAATTATACTTCCTAAGACGTTTAGAATAATTTTATAAATCCAGATAAAACATTTTTTACAATGTATCTATATTTTCAAACAAATTTCTTGTTACTTACGTCTTTAAGTAGTTCTCGTAATTTGTCTATTCTATCGCCATTAGATCTTGTAGGCAGATATCTGGCCTCTGTTTCATGTCTCGATAAAGCAAATATAGCCAACAAAACACAGAGTAAAAAGACTGATTTGGAAACCATTGTTTGAATAGCTACAACGACAAAGAAACAATACTTATTATAATATCACTTAGAATAAATATTTATGAATTATACTAGCGTGTACCAGCGACTTCGTTCGCGTCGAATTAATCATTTGTGATGGTGATGATAAAGCAAAGCAAGAATTTCCATTAACATACAAACTGGATAAAATTTTCTCACATTTATGTCAGCATGAGAAAAAACAATATGGCGATATTATTATATAACTTGGTAATATTTGAGGGGTAGTTTCATCTCGTTGATATTTGACTTTCGAAAAATCCGTTTGCCAAAAATAAGCTTTTTACATCAAGCAGTTTAAGCAGAATCATGGTTAAGAAATTACCCAACTTTTTGGAACACCCTGTATGATTTTTTAAAAAATTTCAAAATATGTAAAAAAACCAAATAAATTATGCTTTTCCCGAAAGACTAACCGTTTGTTAAATAACAAATATTGTAATATTTGAGGGGCGTTTTCACCCTCTTGGAATTTGAGATTCGAGAAACCCCTCCTTATCGAAGCACTACACCCCACAGTCAATCCGTTTGCCAAAAATCAGCTTTAAACGTCAAGCAGTTTAAGCAGAATCGTGATTACTCAATGGTCATTTTTATGAAACACCCTGTATAAATTTATAAAAAATCTTAAAATATGTAAAACAACAAAATAAAATATACTTGTTTAAGAGTTTTTCCGAAAAACTCACCGGTTTTTAAATAAAAAGTATTTTAATATTTGAGGGATAGTTTCACCCCCTTAGAATTCGAGTTTCGAAAAATCGAGTTTTATCTCTTTTTCGAAACACCCTGTATACAATTTTAAAAAATCTTAAAATATGTAAAAAAACAAAATAAAATATACGTGTTTAAGCGTTTTTTCGGAAACTTGACCGTTTTTTAAATAAAAAATATTGTAATATTTGAGGGGTGGTTTCACCCTCTTGGAACTGGAATTTCGAAAAATCCCTTCTTATCGAACCTCTACACCCTAGAATCAACCTGTATGCCAAAATTGAGCTTCTTACGTTGAGTGGTTTGAGCAGGATCGTGATTAATCAGTATGTCAGTCACTTAAGGATTTTATAATATATTAGCCTTTTAGTATAGTTTTGTCAATTAAATTGATTCTTAAAAGATTATTTATACAATATGTCTCCGGATTGTCTTTTACAGGAGGAAAAACTTTTTTATTACTGACGTTTGAGAAAAATGCATTCTTCATAAAAAAAATTTCTTGTTAAAAATGGTTAATCCCGTTAATACTTTTCCAAATTTCCATATCGTTTTAGAGAAAATAAAAGGAATCAAACAGAGTTTCTAATTAAAAGTATAAAAATACTTACATACTTAAAATGCACAAAAACTTTTATAAAACACTACAATACTTTTGTAAAATTTTAAAACGATTTGTTAAAAGATCTTGATACTACTGTAAAATTTTTAAGGCGGATTTTGCTTTTAAATAAGGGAGGTTTGCGTGGGTTTTACAGTGGTGGGGGTGACAAATTTTCGCTAAACAAACGGAAAGAGGATGAGCAAGAAAAGAGTGGGCTTTGATACTCTATATACAGAGTCGGTAACTATAAAAATATATTATACAAGGTCCGACAATAGAGCGTCGGGCATATGTAGCTCCTAGAATAAAAAACTTGGGAATTTTGTTTAAGTGCAAAACTAAAGTATGTTCTAGGATGTGTTTCAGGAAAATATTTTAACTTCTATAGAGTGGCTCAGAAAAGTGTGAGTGGATTGGGATGATTTGGTTTGGTGGAACACCGTATATGCAGGGCCGGCGGAAGGGCCGGGCGACCCGGGGCGCCGCTACAGCAACTAAAATATTTAAAAACAGTAATCTAAACAAATAGTAATGAAAAACCAGATCAATAATTAATCGGTAATATCAATTTCCACATTAAATTAGCAATTACCATACCACATAGGGAAGAAATATCTGACTAATGACACCCTATATTATTTCTTCAATAAATTGAGAATTAAGAAAGAAACATTTTTTGTATTTAGAGTATTTCAAAAATTTTAATGGTTTCGCAGATATTTGCGGTTATATTTCAGATGGCATTTTCCACAATCTTTCAAAAAAACTTTCAATCCAACTGGACCAGAACTGTTCTGCTGCCCAAGTGGAAACCAACTTAAAGCAGAAATCGAGAACCTGGAAGATTCCATCCGTAACCTGGAATGGAAATCTTTCAACGGTCGAAGATACTCGAAGAAATTTCTTAGGACCGAGAAAAATCAATAACTTTCCTTGATTTAAGTCAGAACAATCTTTGGTTTGTCACGGGGTTTTTAACAGGGCACTGTTTCCTCAATAAACACCTTAGTAGATTGAAGCTAAGAAACAACGGTGAACCCAGATTTAGTGGGAAAAATGGGTAAACACCAGAACACCTCGTCACTGAGTGCGCCGAGACGACAACCATTCGTGCCATGAAGTTTGATAAGACTGATATCAGATATAGAGAAATAACTTCTGTAAAACCGTCTAAGATACAGGCTTTTGTCACAGACCTGAGAACTGTATGATGATTTATAACTCAAGAAAGGGGACACAATAGATCTATAAGGTCACGGTGAAAAACGTGTGTTAATAATTTTCGCCATACCCTGTAGGTCTTACGCCGAATGTTTCCAAAAGGAACATATCGTTCGCTTCCCAAGCTGGCGTCGCGGCGTCTGGACCTGGTGGCGTCAGCACGCTCCGTCTCTTTATCTGTTTTATCTCTTTATTCCAAGGTCGATTCCAACCCTATTTATTTGTTTTCCAGGCGATTGTAATTCCATTAGTCAAGTATTAGTTTCTTCGGGTGAAATTGAATTAATGAATGTGCTTCGAATAGAAGTGGATTACATTTTACTATAATATTTCTTTGTTGAAAAATTCTAGACAGAAAATAACATTACTTAATCAGTGTCATGCTACACAGGGTGAACCGAAAAATTCTGGCCCAATTTCAGGCAGTGATACTTGATTAAAAAAATACGGAAATAATTTCCTATAAATATGGGTCCGAAAATGCGTAGTTTTAAAATATGTAAGATGTTAAATCACAGCAGATGTTTTCCTTCTACTATTGTGAGATTGTAGGGTTGGGGGAAGTTAATCTATATTTCTTTGGTGATAACTCATCATACAGTCTCAGAGCTTTACCAAAAGCCAGTATATGAGACGGTTTTACAGAGGTTAGTTCTCCATAACCAATATCGGTCGAACAAAGTTTATGGCATGAACAGTTGTCGTCTCGGCTCACTCAGTGATTAGGTATTCTGGTGTTTTCCCACAGAATTTGCATTCGCCGTTGTTTCGTAGCTTCAATCTACTTCAGAGTTGTTTATTGAGGAGACAGTGTCCTATTAACAACTCCGGGACAATTCGAGGATTGTTATTACTTAAATCAAGTAAAATCTTTGATTTTTCCCGGTAGTAAGTCCTGAGAAATGTCTTTGAGTGTCTTAGACCCTTGAAGGAATCCCCTTCCAGATTACAGATGGAGTCTTCCAGGTTCATGAGTTCTGCTCTAAGTTGGTTTCCATTTGGGAAGCAGAACAGTTCCGACCCCGTTAGTAGAGTGTTCGCTCCTTTCCTAGCCATATCGTTTGATTTTTCATTATCAAAAACCTATTATTATATATTATCACAACCTACAGTATGTGGACCTTATTCCTTCTACTATGGTTCAGCTCTAAAAATTTAGTACTTTTGTTATTATCATCTTAAATATCCTCTGGCCGAATTTCTTGAAATTTGTCCATGTTATTTTTAGTACTAATGGTATCATTTAAGCCTGAGAAAAAAATGTACGCCACTGACTTTTTGTGTAATTTTAATATTTTTTAGATAAAGCCTGTCCCACACGATCGATGTGTCAAACACTTTCCATTAACACTTGCCACATCGTGTAGGAGACACACTTGTGAATTGTAATATTGTCTAAGCCAATGCCAAATGATGCGTCCAACGATGGACGCATTCGCAAAGGCAACGGCATAAGGCAACTAAAATTACAACATTTTTTCTCTTGTATCATATATCAAAAACTATTTTCGAGGAAAAAAACCTATCCAATTCATTGCAAACCGCTCGACACCCTTTAAGAAAATTAAATTTCAATTTGTTTGACTAAAGTATTAAAATACTTGATAACAAATTACAATTTACCAATGAAAGACAATTTAATATAAAAATATTTTTATTTGCATATTAGGGTAAAAAGATATAGTAATGCTTAAATAATAATAATGACATATCTTCTGACTAGATATTACACACAACGAAATATTTTTATATACATATGTATATCTACAATTTTATGTGATAGCTTATATGTCCAGTGCTATTAGAGCTATCTACTGGCTAGAATCAGCAGTACACAATACATATAACTTATCATCTCAACACACACTATATTTCCTATAAACATACGATTTTAAAACTAAATTTCGAGCAGTAAAACCGCTGTTTAGTTTATAAATCTTCTCCTTCAATGCTCATTAAACTCCCCAAGTCTAGTTTCATCTGTTGCAGGTCATTTTGATCCATTTCTTCCGTCTCAATTATAACAGTCTGGATCTAGGAGTAGAAAACATCTGTTTATATATTATACAGGGCGAGTTAAATATTTTTAGGGGTAGTATATTTCGACCCAAGAAACACGAAGGTTTTTTTCGAGATATTTTTTTTTTGAAAATTTGGAATTTTTTGGAAATTTTTTTGATTTTTTGTTAAAAATCATAATTTCTTGATAATATGGCAACATAGAGAGTAGATCAAATTTACAAAAAAGAAAATCCAGAAAAGATCGAGTGGTTCTCAAAATTTAAGACAAAAATTTTTTTTTAAATTTTCAAATAAAATAACTAGATTATTTTGTACTTATCTGAAAAACGGTAAAGAGAAAATATATGTTTCTCTTATCGAGAAATGCAAATATTTTTAGGGTTAGTCTATTTCCAGAAATACGTTTATGAGTTTTTTTACGCAAAAAAATGTTTTGCAAAATCTGGAATTTCTTAAGAAAAAATTTGGATTTTTTTTTTAATTTTGTAAACAATACCAACTTGGCTGCCTGAAAACTAGCTCTAAGATCTTTAACCATGTATAACAAAATGTCCACTTTACTTTTTTAATTGTTACCATTTAAACATAATTTTTGACCAATTTTTTTCAATTTTGAATACACGAAGTTACATAGATAAAAAAAACAAGTTTAGATTGGAAAGTGCCCATAAGGACCATGTAAATACTATTTGGCGCTATTCTTACAAAGGTCGCTCTCCAAAGCTTTTTTTTTAATTTTTAAATTGTGTGGCAAAATATTATTTATTCAAATTTATATAAGGACCTAGTAATACCACAGATTATACAGATTATAAACTTTGTTTTTTCTTTATTGTTTTTCGTGGTTCCAATTTTCGGAATCGGGTACTAGTTAGCGCCTGACCGGCACAGTTATTAGAGAGATATCGGAAAACCGAATAGCGTCATGCAGTATTTACGCGTACCTTATTATGGTTACGATATGCGCGAGTCAATTTTTAACGCAACACCCGCTAATAACGTTACCGCCTAACGTAATTTGCGGATCAATTACACCAAGTGCTATTTCTAAATAACGTTTAAAAATTGCTTAAATGGGCATGTGCGGGTATTTGACAACCGGGACCGGCCGGCGAGATCTTTTATTTTAGGTTATGTTTGAATTGTTTTGAATTATTAATTTAGTTTTATTAGGTAATTTGATATTTAAGTAGCTGGGATTAGTTTTAATTAAATAAATATGGGCCAAAATATGGATTCCACCTCTTCCAATATTAAAGAACCTACAAAGAGGTTTAGGTTTACAGCAGATGACGACTTTCTAAGAGAATTTGTTGCCGTAAACCCACTGGCAGACGTTGAACAATAAAGCACTGGAAATAAGCACTTTAGCCCTTTAGTTTTAAAATACCTAGTAAACAAAACAATTTCAAAGTTTTAAATTCAAAGTTAGGTTAAGTTTAAATAGCGGATGCGACGCGAACAGAATTCTTTTCGATCCGATAACTATAAATGAAGAGAGTTAATACCACCTCACGTAAAGGAAATAACACCTGGCTTTATTAACGTCCATGCACGCTATTCGGTTTAGCGATATCTCTCTATTACGCTGTTTATTGTTATTTTACGCGAGTTTATTTTTGCGCACAGGAAATTTTACTCGTTTGCACATCGTCATAAAAAACAATTTTCGTACCAGGAATTAGGGACAAGATTTTTATCTGTATACTTATAGGATACCTAATCTGTGGTAATAGGTACCTAGGAAACATTGGAAACCGACGTTATGCCACGATCCACGATGGATTTTGCAGTTCACAGTTCACACAGCTTTTTAAGTTTTTAATGCCATTTTTTCACAATTATCACAGGTTTGAGTAAATAAAATTTAAATTAAACTCACAAGATAGTAATAATTACATTGAAAATGGACACTATAAACACTTTTCGGTATTTTTTCAAAGAGGGCGGTGTAAATGAAGATTTTATAATTTTTGAAGATTCTGACTTTAACAAAAGAAAATTCTTTCTGTTCTTGTTTGCGGTTGTTCTTAGCAACCTATAGCAACCGATATAGCAGCGCCAGATCCCGCACAACATATGCGACCCAAAACAATTATACATTTTAGCGGGAAACCGAGCATTGGAATGCTCGGTTTCTAACTAAATTTATTTCCTTTATGATTTAAACATAAATTTTGACAAGTTTTTTTTCAATTTTCAATAAATGAAGTGGCAATTATTTTATGGAAGTATCATTAAACGTCGTAGAGAAAAAGATATCATCGGTTGTCATTTGAATTTGACATAATTTTTGTCGATGGAATGGAATTTTTACCTTTTGTTCAACAGCTTCCACGCTACTATGGATGTCCAAATTTTCCACATAATTTTCATCATAATGAATTTCTTCAATACCATTCACAGTTATAATGTCAACAGTGCATTCCTTTTCACTTTCAGTGCACTTTTCGGTTTTTACAGGATGCTGTCCTAAATTACCACCAAAAATATATGTTTAAACAGTGTGTACCAAAAAGGTCGCAAACAAATACAAATACACAAAATATGTATTAATTTTTCGAAAAATGTTTATACGAAATCAAATCAGTATAATAAGTAACAAAAAAAACGGAGTCGGCCCCGTTTTGGTACACACTACACAGTGTAGAATCCAACAATAATAAAAGTTTCTTATTTAAAAGTATTTTTATAATTTATCTACCAGAATGTAAACGAAGATGTCCTTTAAGTGCACTGACACTCTTATATCCTTTCTCACATTTATCGCATTTATATGGCTTGTAACTACTGTGAGTGCTCTTGTGCTCGACCAAATGACTTTTTTGTTTAAACCCATAACCACATATATCACATTTATAAGGTTTCTCCCCTAAAACCATAAATTTTATCTGTATTTTTAACTCTTAGTGTCAAAAATAGTACACTACCTGTATGTTTTCTCATGTGCAACTTTAGTTGTGCAGGTCTACAAAATCTTTTCTCACAAATTTTACACTGCTCAGGCCTGCCCGTATGTAATCGTTTGTGAGTGTTTAAAATACTTGATTGACTAAAACTCTTCAAATAAAAATATATTAATTTTATTTGTTAAAATTTTAATATATATTTCATATTAATTAAACTTTTAGTTACTTAATCGAGGGCGCGATTTTTAAACTCGTTGTTGCCAACCATGGACATAGGGCTCGAACTCACTGACGACCAGGTCTGCTGGCCGGATGTATTGCGTTTTTAGCTGCGGCCAGATGAACGACCAGTTTCAACAGAGTTGTTAAATCTAACGATTTTTTACGTTTTACCAATTAGAAAATATTGTTTCAGAAATGTTAAAATATCCGAGTTAACTAAAAAGCGAAGTTGCTATTCACAACAAACAAAAAGCATTGTGTACGCGCGACCGACAAAAAAGGAGATATTCAGTTTCTTTTTTCTACTGATATGGCGCCCTTATCGACTTTAGAAGTAAACATATTAGGGCCATCGTAAAAAAAGATCGTCAGACACTGGCTCTAAATATAAGCAGGTAGAAAGTTTAGCTTCCAGTTATTTCAATGTTTACAATATAACGAAGAATCTACAACAGTAATTACTTCTATTTTTATGAATGTTTAAGTTACTTTCTTATTTTTTTTTCAAAATAATGTACCTTGTAGAAATATAGTCTAATGAACCCTGTTTGAAAAACGCTAAATTAAATATCATATTTAAAATACAGTTGTCCTCCTTGTGCATGACTACAATACAACTAAAAAAACTAATTTAATAAAAAAAACTAGTGGTTGTAGAAAAACTTTAAATATTATTTTTTTTTATTTTTTAAACATCGAAACTCAAAGGTATAATAACAGGTATCATACCAACCATAAATAGAGTAGGTATGTCATATAAAAATGTTTTGAGTTTTTACTAGAATCGACCCTTGATAAAAAAAAAGGGATTAGATTTAAGTTTACCTTTGATCCAGTCTGTATATTTTATCTTTGGATTTTCTGCACGTGTGATTTTCTACACTAAAACACTATATCTTATAGAAAATAAAATATTGTGCCTTGAATTTGAGCGATTTCATCTAAAAATTATTAATTTGGAAGAAAACCGGCAACAAGCGGCAGAAAATAATAATATTTCCGTGCAGTCTTCTGGTCGCAACGACCAACAGACGGCCAGGACGTTAGTGTGCGCTATATCATTTGATTTAATGGTTTTAGAGGTAGCTGCGGCCTGGCCGGTGCGACCTGGTCGTCAGTGTGTTCGAGCCCATATTCGGCGCGCCGTAATGACTAACTGAAATTTAAATTTCGCGCTGGAAATTCAAGTGGAAGCTCTGCTGTAAAAAATGTCAAGTTGCCGCATTTATTTATTTATTTCCTGCGCAAAACATCCCCCTTTGGAACTTTTTCTTTAATGGCCATAAGCGGGAGTAAAAGACCAACCGCCCGAACAAACACTAGAGGCGCCACCGGTCACCAAATGGTGTAAAAATTACGAAAATTTAATCATCTAATTTTGACACAAGGGGTCGCGGTTAACTTTTTTAATTTTAATTCAATATTCATTGTTTTCAAACTATATTATTAGACTTTGTTGTATTTTGTGAATGTATAAATGTTTTCTTAGTATAAAGTTGCATTATATTAATTTAAATTATATTACATACATATTTAAAATTCAAATATTATAACATATATGTCAGTTGCCGTCTAATAAATGTCATCTTGATAACAAAAAGTTAGTTATTGTCAGAAATAATTAAAATCATGTTGAAATATTAAAATTTACAAGTTATAATTAGATATTTTATATTATTTCAAAAACAAAAACATAATCGTACCGCGTAATGTTGATATGCAGGTCCAAAACAAAAAGTGCCGTTATATTTTTCAGTGTACGTTGTCAGTCGCGGAAGTTTCAGTGATTTTAGTGTTGTCGAATATTTTTATTTGTGAAATAAAAATATTGCGTTTGGATTGAAAAACTAAAAGTAGAAGTTTTATTGCAATGTAAGTAAGCGTTTTTTCATACCTACGACAAATATACATATGTATATTGAAATTTTATAATTCATTTTATTTAAAAAACGTTAGAAAACAAGCTTGTAATCCTGTAATTGACATAAATATTATGTAATGTATCCCATTTCAATGTAATATATTACTTTACAATTAAAAAAATGTAAATTTAAAAAACATATTAAAAATATATACAGGTATTAATTGAATTTTTTAGTGTGCGAACAAACACGAGAGGCGCTTTATTATTTACTTTCATTTCTTAACATGACAGACGAAGCTCTAAAGGGGGTTGTTTTGTGATTTCCTGACATTTTATTAGCAAATTACGAGTTTTTGGTTTAAATAAATCGTGTTGTGATACTTTAAGCTTGAAAATGTTTACTAGCAGATCTTGCAGTCGAACAATGTACTTTTTAAAACCTCTTTTAGTGCGAAGTGTACCGGATGTCCCACTAAGAATAGCTCTCGGCTGTATCTCGGAGAGTATTAGCCGTAGGGCTTACGGGAAAAAATATTTATAACAAAAAGGGCTGTGAGAAATTGCTGGAAATTATTTTCAAGTTTGTAAAACGGCCGCTAGGAGACGCAACTGCTCTGGAAAATAACAAAATAGATTTTTTAAGCTTACTTATACTTAAAACTTATTACTATAAATAATAGCTTCATAATCTTCAGTAAATTTTGGATTTTTTTTGTTAGAACCATTTTCCCGTATCTGCTAAAATAAAGTGGTGGGGGAAGGTTAGATCTATCTTTATTTAAATGTTAATAACTCCGGACTGGATGATCAGAATCCACCAATTACTCTATAGTATACCATAAAAATAATAATAATAGGGTTTTGAACGTAGACGCTAGGGGGCGCTTTCTTACAATTTAACAAACATAGCGCGTTTTTTCAAAAAAATTTAATACGATAGTATGTGTTATTTTAGCTGATAGTAAAGAATAGTAAAAGCTTAAAAAGTCAGCGAAAACCGCATCTTGATATCTTCTTTCAAACCGAAGATATTAGGAAAATTATAATAAATACCAAAAAATACGCCCTTAATTACCTTATTTTTACAATACAGTATCAGTAGCCCTCTTGATTAGGCTCATTCTAACAAAAAAATAAGATAGAAACAGTTTTTTCCAAAGCCTACCATGACTTCACTGAATCATCGTTTCTTGTTCACTGTTATTAATATCTTAATTATTAGATATTAATACCTCTGGTATTATGGTATTCTGGCATTTCGTCGATTTTAAAATAAACTAACTGTTTCTATCTTATTTTTTTGTTAGAATGGGCATGATTAAGAGAGCTACTGATACCGTGTTGTAAAAATAAGGTAATTAAGGGCTTATTTTTTGGTATTTATTATAATTTTGCTAATATCTTCGGTTTGAAAGAAGATATCAAGATGCGGTTTTCGCTGACTTTTTAAGCTTTTACTACTCTTTACTATCAGCTAAAATTACATATACTATTACATTTATTTTTTTTGAAAAAACGCGCAATGTTTGTTAAATTGTAAGACAACGCCCCCTAGCGTCTACGTTCAAAGGCTTATTATTATTGTTTATATGGTACAATATAGAGTAAGAAACGCTCTTTTAAACGAGCCCTCGCTTGTTGAATTCCGATCATCCAGTCTAGAGTTATTAATATTTAAATAAACACAGACCTAACCTTCCCCCACCACTTTATTTTGGTAGATAGGGGAAAATGGCTTTAACAAAAAATATTCAAAATTTATTGAAGATTATGAAACCATTACTTATAGTACACCTTATCTAAGCAAAATTGTGTAAAAACTCAATTTTCTTATTTTTTGTTGCAGTTGCGCCCCCTAGCGGTCGTTCTACAAACTTGAAAATATTTTCCAGCAATTTCCCATAGCCTCTTTAGTTATAAATATTTTTTTATTCCGCAGCCCCTTCGGCTAATACTTTCCGAGATACAGCCGAGAGCTATTCTTAGTGGAACACCCTGTACAAGATTGCTTAATAGTCGTAAAAAAACGCATCGCAACTTTATTAGAATATTTTGAAAGGGAAAGCGGTAGTAATGGTCCATTATGTCCCTTAAGTGCCCAGCCAAACCAAACCTAACCTAAAAGTTTATATATTTATAATTAACTTATTTTTGTTTGCTAAAATATTTTGATTAAAAAAATATATAAATGTGGGCAAACGCTGTGTTGGTCAAGCTTAATCAAGTGACTAAAAGTTTATTTAGTATGAACTGTATTTTAATCTAAATCTTCAGTTAAGTGATATAAATGATGACAAAATTGTTTTTGATGAAAAAAGTGGTTCAAAATTGTTGTACAGTCTGACCGACGAGTCAGGAAAGATTTCGACAGATGACATCCAAAAAATTACAGAAAGTACTATTTACTTGTGATTTAAAATGACTAAGGCACTGTCAGAGATCTTCCCATTGAACTTATGTAAAGTTAACAAAGAAAAAAAAATTGAGCTTTAAAATCTGTCCAAAGATAAGTTCAATGACAACGACAGATGTGTTTGTCGTTTTAATTCAAGGATGATTTGTATTTTCTGTCGTTCTTTGGGTGTCGTCGCTTGAAATCTTCCAGATCTTTGCGGTCAAATTTTGACATTTAAAGTGTTGCGAATACCGCAATTCCGCGCTCGTGAGGAACAACCTCTTATCGGTGGTACTGTATATAAAATTGTCATGAAAGATTATTTATTCCTTTTACCTTTCCACAAATAGTGCAGGTGTAAGGTTTTTCGCCTGTATGAGTACGCTCGTGAACAACTAAAATATTTCTAGTTTTAGCTCTTTTATCGCAGAAGCGACACTGGTATGGCTGTTCCCCTGTATGAATCCTCATATGAACCCTGAATTTAGACGGCGTTCTAAAAATATAAACTTACAAACGAATCCACTAACTCTATTCTACTGAATTACTTGAATTGTTTACCACAGTGTTGACATAAATTTTCGATATTTTTTAATTCTAGAATTTCATCACTGTTATGATATTTTTTATTATGGCTAGGTAAACTCCTGACTTTCCTCGTACATACTGAACAATAATTCTGTGGTGTTGATGAGCTATCATAAAACAAATTATTAGAATAAAATAAATACCTTATTAACAGAGAAAAAAACCGCGTCAAGTTGTCATCAATTTTCATATTATATGTATAAAGTAATTTGAGACCATTTTCTTCTTAGATCATATATTTAATATATATCCTTACTCTGGTAGGTCAAGACATTCATCATTACAATACTGGTCACTTGATTTAGTTGATTTTGTCAAAGCAGATGTTCTAAAACATTTTTTTTGTATTTTTAGTTGTTATTTTCTAAATAAACAATGATAGCTTAATAAAATAAAATAAAATTAAACTTTGTACTGCAATTTTCTGTTGAACTACACCAAGTAAACTGATATTATTTACTTCATTAGTTATCTTATTAATAATTATGACTCACTATTAAAAACATATTATTATGTTAATAATAAAATTACCTGTTCCTAATATGCTTCTGGAAATGATTTTTTAAAGATTTTACTTTGAGAAATTGCTTCCCACACACCTTACATTCCACTTCTCTATCTCGATTATGGACCTCTCTATGGTTCTTCAAATGCCTAGATGATATAAACGATTTCAAGCAACTATTACATTTATATAACCGATCAGCTACAAATTTAAATAATTTATCCAATAAAATGTTTATCCATTAAAATAGTTACATTAAATGTCTTTACCTGAATGACTGGAAAGATGTTCGATAAAATGACTTATATTTGTACTAATTTTGTTGCAAAATGGACATTTCAAATCATCCCTATGAGTGTCACTATTATGTACTTCTAAACTGTTAAATATCTTATTACAAGTTGAACACCATCCCTCCTTCAGTTCTCTAATAGAGCAAAAAGTAACATAAACAGTTTTTATTTTTTTTTACTTACTTATGCAGCCTCGTCATATGTACTGATAAACTTCTATTATTAATTGCCACAAAATTACAGAAAATGCACACCACATGCTTGAAAAACTTTTCCCTAACAGCACTTATGGCTTGCTCTACATCTTTAATAGAATACTGTTTCAGCCTCATTTGTTGTTCACTAGTTTTCACGGGCGTTTTTTGGGGTTGCAAAACTGAATAATCTTCATTTGAATTATCAATTTCATCATGTTCTATTTTAATATCATCTTTTGACTTTAAATAAAATCGAATTTAGAATTAAAAAAAAACAAAAATTGCATAACCAGCTTACCAAAAAGTATTCACCGACCAAAGAATTTGTTCTTTTACACTGCTCTTGGAATTCATAAAATTTCAAAATTTTATCTTCACATATACTGCACAAATATGAAGGATAATGAAGCTCAACAACAATCTAAGGAACAAAAAGTAAAAACATTTAAAATATATGAATAATAAACTTTTACCTCTGTATTAAGTACAGAATTAAATTTTGCCAATAATTCAACTATTTCTTCACTGTTATCCAACAAAGATTTCATACTGTCAGTTTTAATTAAACAAGCTCTACAAATAGCTGTTATTTTGTTATTAGTTGCAATCGTTTTTATGTCCATTTTAATAGAAAAACTTAGTAATAAATAAATAAACAAACCGCTTTTTAAACAGAGTTTGTATTTGTAGGTTAGAAAAATTAAATGTCATTTTTGATTAAATAAGTGCGTGTTTACATGCATCCTTCATGCATCGTTGATTTGGTGCAATTTTATTGGTGTATTTTAAAAATGACAGCTCATACTAAAATATGATTGGAGTGACGTTGGTGTGACGGCACGACGGATGTCGCATGATTGTATATAAACGCACCTTTAGAACTTTAAAGTTGTCAAAAGCTGTCAAAAGATTTGTTTTTGTTTAGGAAATTTAAATATTTAAAAAATGGATTTGGATATAAGATTGGAAGGAAACATAGAAGATTATTGTTTTGCTTGTTTAAAAATACAACAACCTGTAGAAGATATATCAAATAATGAGCTTGTTTTGGATAATTTTAAAAGAGTGTTTAATATTGAGGTTATTTTGGCCACGTCTACTCGGTTTGTTTTTTTACCTAATAAGATTCAATAATTTTAGGTAGAATTAATATCAGGATCTAAAAAGAACCTCTGTAATATCTGTTTAAATAAATTGAACGATGCTTCAGAATTCCACACTCAACTTAGTTACTCTATTCTCTATCTGGATGAATACATAAAATCACAAAAAACTTTAATTGAGGTAGTAACTAAATAATTTTATAGAATAAATGCTGTAATTTGTGTCGCTTCAGGTAAAGCATGAAGATGAAAAGAGTCAGCTTGAAGTTGATGATTATGATAATGATGAGAGATCAAATGATAATGAAGAAGTCAAAAACGAAGATTCTGATTCAGAGTCTGATAATGAACCTCTAAGTCGATTAATAGAGAAAAATGTACCATTTAATGCAAAATTGAAGAAAGTACCCACTAAAATTATTATAGAAGCTATAGAGGAATACCAAAACAAATGCAGAGAAAATTCAAATTGTATTGCATGTGATTTTAAAGGAGTTAGCATACGAAATTTGTCTTGTCACATGATACATAAACATAAGTACATTTTTATTCTGTCTATTAGTGTTTAATATAAACGTATATTTTTTCAAATTTACAGAGAAATGAAAGCAGATTGGTGTTCCAGGTGTAATAAGCTAGTTGAAGATGTTGAAACACATAGAAAAACCCACAGTAATAAAACTTACTGTAAATTCTGCAGAAAGAATGTTACTAGATGTCATTATATGGAGCATTTAAAAAACCATGCTGGTAGTTATTATTAGATTATTATAGATATAATATTGCTAGTTTTTTGATTTTATTTTTTATACTTTATGATTTTTTTTACTTTTTTTATTGTTTATTTATTTTTATTATTTTATAAGATAAAAAAAAATAGGTAAAATACCTACTATTTTTTTTTTGTTTTTAATTCTACGAATGATAGAATAAATAAACAGAAATAGTATTACACACTAATAACATATTTGTTTAGGTTTGCGTTATTCTTGCAAAAAATGCCAAAAGAAATTTATCACACAGAAAGCCCTTAATGAACACAGTGCGCAGCATATTAAAGAGAAACCATTCCAATGTCCAAATTGTCCCAAATCCTTCAAATTATTAAAAAGGTAATTATATAGAGGGTGGTCCGAACTGTATTCCAGAAACTTTGGCAGCATATTCTGCAGATAAAAATAAGTAAAAAAGTTTGTATAAATGTATGTCCTAAAATGCTTAGTTTTGGAGATACAGGGTGTAGAAGTTTTATTTTTATTTGGATTTTTTCCAAATAATTTATGAAGTAACGTCAATATTTGGATGAAAATTGGTGTCTGGGAGTTTTTTGACATGATAAATTTGATTTTGATGTCAATATGACTCCTACTTGTAGGAGGCACCACCTACATTTTTTTAACTGGTTTGAAGAGTAATAACTTTTCGTTCGTACCTGTATAAAACTACTGAGTAAAAAAAATATACATTTACGATTTTTTTTACGTAAAAAAGATCTCTTGGTAAAAATCGCTACGAGTAATGGTTCTTGAGATATTTGGAATCGAAATTATCAATCATCATTGACATAAATTAAACATGTTGACTAAATAGTTATTAGACTGAAATCATAAATTTGAAATGTTTTTGTGCCAAATGTTCAACAGAAACTGTTTTATCATCATTTTTTCGCAGAAAAAATTATGATTAATTTAAAAAAATTTTAAACATTATAAAAATTTATCAAATTTATTATTTCAGTCAAATAACTATCTAGACAACGTGTTTATTTTGTGTCAATAATGACATGTATTGGCTATTTCCGTTCTAAATATCTTGAGAACCGTTGCTCGCGGCGATTTGTCACGGAAATATATATTTTTTCACTTAGTAGTTTTATACAGGTGCGAACTAAAAGTTATTACTCTTCAACCCAGTTAAAATAAAAGTTGGTGGCGCCCCCTACAAATAGGAGTCATATTGACATCAAAATCAAATTTTTCATGTCAAAAAACTCCCAGACACTAGTAGTGTGAACTATCGAATGAATACTATCGAAACATTCGATAGTGGCAATTCATTCGAATAATTCGATAGCTAGTAACAAAACATTCGTCGAAAACTATTCGAATAAAAATTATCGAATAGATGCGTCATCAGCCTTGAAATATTATACTCTAGTAATTCGGCAGCAAAAACCATTCATTTATCAAATTCATTTATTCGTAAGGATCGATTTTAATGAAATATAAATTGGATTTTAGTTGTCGTCCGGCGACGTAGGTTTCTTTCCTAGAAACCCGACAGCGGTCGGTGGCAATGCTATGAAAGCCGGGATCTTTGATTTTTTGCGGAGTCAGATAAAGATAAGGACACATTTTTTTTTTATTGGGGTGCTAGTATTTACACAGAAACAGAAAATAATTATGAAGGGCGCTGTTGCCATATATTCGTATTAGTTGGTATTAGCAAAGAATATTATTCTTTGGCATTAGTTAGTTAGGGATAGTATGTCTATATATTTTTCATTTTTTTTATTAATATTCTGTTGTTACACTGCAATAATACTTTTTATTTTGGATGTAGGAAAATTATTTTTAATGTTTTTAAGCAAAGACTGGTTTAATAAATAATAATAACAGTAATAATTTGTTATACCCATTAACAACAAAATTTTAAATCATTTAATATAAACATTTTTTTAAGTAATAGCAAAATATAAACAACAAATAGAAGTCAAAATTATTTATATTAGATCTTATTTAAAAATAATATAGTCTCTAAATGTGTGGCAACGTTGGTTTATTAAATAATAATAATTACAGAACTAATTTGTTATATTAACAACAAATTTTAAAATCATGAAATATAAACATTTATTAATTTTCTAAGCATGCAGTGTAATGGAAGGAAAATAAAAATAAAAAATTAGAAATCAAAATTAGTTATATTACTTTATATTACTATTTAAAAATAATATTTACTTTTACTGGCATTTACTTTAAAAAATAAATGAAATATTTCTTTGCAAAAAACTACATGTAAGAGAATTCGCATAAACAAAATACAAACATCGTTAACTTTTTTTTAAATTGGCATGTGTAAAATTTTCAGTTTAATTTTCTCATCCCAAAATTTGAATTCGATAACCATTTACTTAACCACATTACTAAAATATGATTATTAAGTTCAACTAATTCATATTATTAAAACATCTAAAATACAAATATGTATTTTTAAAATTAATTGATTGTAAGTTCATCTCATCTCTCAAAATTGCTAGGTCTCAAAATTTCCCATTAAAAAAATAGACCATAATATACCATATAAAATTAAATAATTGAAAGATCGGGCTACGGAAAATCACACAAATTTTTGGAAAAATTTTGACCACTTGGTATACAATCGTCAATTAAAAAAAACTACTATTTTAGTATTTTAAATATTTTAATAAAGGCAAAAATAGCACAGTATTTACAAGGCGAAGTTATAAAAATTTGGAAGAACTAATAATCTGTGCTAATAATGCACTGACGCACACAAAAATCAAACGAATACTAAATTTCATTTATCAAAAGCATTCGATAGTCGTGGCTCAACGATAACCATTTAGTCGCACGGCGAGGTTGTCACATATACTTTAGTATACAAATGAATGAATGATTTTATTCGAATAAAACCATTCGATAGTTTAAACCATTCATTCAGTAACCATTCGATAGTCTAATTCATTCGATAGTTCCCATCGCTACCAGACACCAATTTTCATCCAAATATTGGCGTTATTACTTCAGAAATTATTTGGAAAAAATCAAAATAAAAATGAAACTTCTACACCCTGTATCTCCAAAACTAAGCATTTTAGGACATACATTTATACGAACTTTTTTACATATTTTTATTTACAGAATATGATGCCGAACTTTCCCGAATACAGTTCGGACCATCTTGTATATGTCGCAGACGCATAGAATAATCCGGCTTTTTAAATAAAAGAAGGTATTTTTACAAAAAGCCTATCTATTTTCAGTCACTTTGCAAAAAGCCTAATCAAAATTAGGCTTATTAAATAATGACGATATTTTCCGTACACGTCTGCAAAAAGACTGCCTGTTTTCAGTCGTTTTACAAAATCCCAAATTGAGGCCAGGCTGATTAAAAAATGATCAAAATTTACTCAGATATGAGCTATGATTTACCCTTTAATAAAAATACCCCGTATTTTCCTATACAAAAACAATAATTTATGTCAAAATTTGATTTTGTTTAGACGAAAACAACTTGAACCCTATTTCATAAATTATAATTATAAGTAACTTTTCAATACAAAATATATTAAAATCTTAATATTAATATCTCGTTTAATTATTACACTCTGTAATTTGATTCTGTGTACAGGGCTACCTCTTTGTGGAACTTTGCTTTCTTTTTTTGGAACTTTTATTTTTTAGAATAAAATGAATTTCGATCTTTATAATAATCGTTCTTAACCATACTCCATTTAACAGATTTATCGTGCCACTTTTTGTGCCATTATTTTCTAATTTTAAAAGAGAAGTTCAAGAAATGTCGTTGAATAAATTTAGGTTAGTTTTACTAATCCCGCGTAAAATGTTTTGTTCAATCTGACTAGTCTTCATTAGGCATTTTGCAAAGCGACTAACACCTTAACAAACAAAGGCTTTTTGCAAAATATCCTTCTATTGTTATAGTTAAAAACGCCGGCGTGTGTGTTTTGTAATATGCCTAGTCTTTTTGCAAAATTCCGAGTTATTCGATACGCCTGCGACATATACAGATTGTTAACTGGACGGTTACTTATTGTGGAACAGAATGGCAACACTGCCTACATTCCAGATGAGTACTAAGCTAAGCTCTGCTAAGCTGCCGACTCGTCCCGTCGCTTCGTCTCTCGACGAGCGGGCCGAGTTTGCCATATTTCAACCATAAAGCTCTTGCCGCGAGTAATAAACAAATTAACAACCTGTATACTTAAAAAATGTCTATACATCTGTGGCAGATTCATTTCTTCAAAAAAGTCCTATGGGTATTTTGCCACTTGCACCGAAAAAAACCTACAAAATAAAATAGTTATTTTTTGTAAACATGTTTAAAAAAAATAACTATTTTAATAAAATAGCTATATTAGAATAACTAATTATGTACATTTTCATGCAGGGCAAGTGGCTCAATAACAATAGGACTTTTTTGAATATATAAATACTTGTTAACTTTCTTTTAATATTTTTTTTATAGTCTGGAAGACCATATATCTTTACATGGCCGCTATACTTGTGATATGTGTAACAAACATTTCGAAATTTCCGAGATGTTGGCTTCACACCTGTGCAATGGAATCTCTATAAAAAAGTGTGATATAGATGCTTTAGATGATAAGACAAATAGCAATGATTTAAACAAGAATAGATGTTGTGTTGAGTTAAACGAAGATGTTCAAGAAGACATTAAGTGAGTTTCAATTTATTGAAATCTGAATTTGCCAAAATTGTTGTTATATATTTTTTTAGAAATAATATAAATATAAAAATTGAAGCCAAGAAGGTGGAGGATTTAACGTGTCATTTCTGCCAGAAAATTTACAAGTATGTATGTATTTTAAGAATATTTTTTAAGTAAGCGTTTACTTTAGTTTCGAAAAGCTTCCTTATAACTAGTGTAGCATAATGTAGTGTAGTGATTTGGTCATCGAAACTGTGCGGTCTGGATTTTAACGTGTAAGACAGTGATGTAAACAGCTTAATGGAAAATCAAGTGTATTAAAAAGAGAAAAATCGAGTCGACACATTTCTTCTATGCGATATTGCCGGATTTTGCATCAAAATTTCAAACCGCACGCATTTACGAAAAATGTTGCATCTAGGGTTGGAACTTTATTTTTCACTATTAGTCACTCATTTTACTACAACTGTAGTCGATTATATCTAGTTTAGATGAGGCGTCAGGTTGCAAAACCCGCCTTATCCATTTAAAAAAATGGTCTAATGACATATACAGGGTGGTCCGAACTGTATTCCGGAAACTTCGCCAGCATATTCTGCAGATAAAAATAAGTAAAAAAGTTCGTATAAATGAATGTCCTAAAATGCTTAGTTTCGTAGATACAGGGTGTAGAACATAGGTGTGAAGTATCATTTTTATTGCGATTTTTTTCAAATAATTTCTGAAGTAACGTCAATATTTGGATGAAAATTGGTGTCTAGGAGTTTTGTGACACGAGAAATTTGATTTTGATGTCAAAATAACCCCTATTTGTAGGGGGCGCCACCTACATGTGTTTTAACTGTTTTGAAGAGTAATAACTTTTCGTCCGTACCTGTATCAAACTAGTAAGTAAAAAAATATACATTTCCGTCATTTTTTACATAAAAAATATCTCTTGATAAAAATTGCTAAAGTAAACGCCACGAATGTTTGGGAGTGATTCATCGCTTGATGAAGTTAGAATCGACACGCGCGCTATCATTTTTACATTAAAAACGTAAATTTTTACCGCAGATGTAGATTTTTAAAGGTCTAATCATCTGCCTGCGCCCTTCCTACTTATTCTAAAATGTTAGCGCGATTGACAAAGACGATACTGTATCGCGTTTCTTTGATTGATTCGTTTTTGTGCGTCAGTCCATTGGTGTGCTTGCAGTGCGACCAATGGGGCATTCCAGTTTATATTTATAACCAAAGATATGTTTTGACAAGACTTTGACAGTTAAAACAACAAATTACAACAGACTATATATTGATCATTATATGACTTCAAACACCACACGGCACTGGAATTAAGTTTTATGTGACCTTGAACAGATTGGTTTACATGGTAGCCACCGATGAATCACTCCCAAACATTCGTGGCGTTTACTATACGAGTAATCTTTCTCAAGATATTTAGAACGGAAATAGTCAATACATGCCATTATGGACAAAAAATAAGCCCACATTGAGTATAGCTATTTGGCTGAAACAATAATTTTTTATTTTTTTAAATTAATCATAAATTTTTCTGCGAAAAAATGATGATTAAACAATTTCTGTTGAACTTTTGGCACAAAAAGATTTCAAATTTATGATTTCAGTTTAATAACTATTTAGTCAACATGTTTAATTATGTCAATGATGACAGGTATTGATAATTTCGATTCCAAATATCTCGAGAACCATTACTCGTAGTGATTTTTTCCAGGAGACATTTTTTATGTAAAAAAAGTTGTAAATGTATATTTTTTTACTCGGTAGTTTTTTACAGGTATGGACGAAAAATGATTACACTTCAAACCAGTTAAAATATATGTAGGTGGCGCCCTCTACAAGTAGAAGATAAAATATTGATATTCATAAAAAGTCACAGAGATGTATATTTTTTCACTCGGTACTTTTATATAGGTACGGACAAAAAGTTATTACGCTTCAAAACAGTTAAAACACATGTAGGTGGCGCCCTGTACTAGTATGAGTCATATTGACATCAAAATCAAATTTCTCACGTCATAAAACTCCCAGACACCAATTTTCATCCAAATATTGACGTTACTTCATAAATTATTTGGAAAAAATCGAAATATAAATAAAACTTCTACACCCTGTATCTCCGAAACTAAACATTTTAGGACATACATTTATACGAACTTTTTTACTTATTTTAATCTGCGGAATATACTGCCGAAGTTTCCGGAATACAGTTCGGACCACCCTGTGGATAGTGGATAGTGGACCCTAAAATATACATAAACATAATCCCAAACTACAGTAAAAGTCTTACGTTACTGCAGCAAAATCCGTCTTATCCACTTATATTTGCTTTTTATTGTCATTATTTTTACAAATCTCGCACTATTTCATAAGCTTTTTACACAAGTATAATATTACTACTGACGTCTTCTCAAATCCTTGCTTAATTTTAATAAAATAGTATATTTAGTAAATCAAGTTAGGCTGCGAATACCGTATGATCGAAAAAAAACGGCATCCAGTTGGTTAGGAAATGACGATTGCTGACATTTCCCATAAAAATTTACATATAAAATGACAGCGTTTTCATTTCATAGCCAATATGCATCACACTGCAACAAAACCCGCCATATCCGAATTATTTTTGTGTTTTTTTGTTTAAGAAATAAATATTAATTTTTATTTCTAGAAAATCGAGATACATAACAATGATTCTACTCAATGGACACGTTTTTTTTGTAAATTAACGCTTCAAACGTTTGCTAAAACAGTTTTTACTTCTTATCTCGAAACAACGTTTGGGGAATAAGACGGGTTTTGCAACTTAACGGCTCAGATATATTATCATAATTTCAGTAGTATACATGAAAGTTTTTAAAATAGCTTATATTTTTCTACACACATTTTCCCACAAACGTAAAAACCGGCAACACTGTATGCCGCTTTTGATTTTGTCTCTCTGTCTGTCAACCGGTTATTTATATTATTCTCTGTCACGCTCATCAAAATCCAGACCACATAAATTGGATGGCCAGCATTGTATCTCATTAAATAACAACCTGAATATTTTTATGAAACGAGATCTCTATCTTCAACAAATAAAAAACTTGCAAACATCACTTAATACAACTTACTTTGTATTTAATTTTAAGAACCGCTTACAAACTTCAAAAGCACATCGAGGGACACATGGGACTCTACACCGCCACCTGTCGGTATTGCGGTAAAGGGTTTACTTGTAATTCAGATCTGGCCAATCACGAACGGGTTCATACAAAAGAAAAGCCTTTTATCTGCAACGTTTGTGGAAAAGTAAATATTAGTTATTTATAGTTTTATAGAAATCAAATAGAGTGATGTAATTTTTTTAGGGGTTTGTTAGTGGGGCTACTTTAAGGATTCATTTGAAACAACATACGGGTAAACCTGAGGAATGCGATTTATGCCACAAAAGATTTTGTAGAAAGTCGGAATTGAGACTGCACCAACAGAAACACAGAGGTACTTAAATATCTACTACTATACAGGGTGTTTCAAAAAACATGTGCCATCTCTCGTGGGGATATACTTCACATAAAAATAAGATTTATTTTTCATATCAACATAGGTCCGATTGTGCTTTTTTTTCCTAGCTACAGGGTGTTAAAATCTTAATATAGTAACTTTTACCCTCAACATTTCATTCAAATCGCTAAAAGTACTTGGAAGAAAATTATAATAAATCGAAAAAATATTCAGACTTTAACACCCTGTAGCTAGGAAACACAGCAGAATCGGACCTATGTTGATATGAAAAATATATCTTATTTTTACGTGAGAAATCTCCCCACGAGAGATGGCACATGTTTTTGAAACACCCTGTACATAAAATGCTAATGTTTATGCTAGAAAGTTGCTTTTTTTGAAAGATAGCTAATTCGCTCTTCTAAAAACTGTCGTCGCCGGATTTGTTGTTTTTCATTTAATTAAAAAAAATAAAAAGTTTTTTTTTCCTGATGTCAGGGCGGATGCGCCAGGCTTCAATTAGTATAATTATAATCTTTTAATTGTTAGGAGTAATTAATACAAAGTATACCGTATAGGCTTGGTGCATTCATCAGAAGGTCTAACGTGTATTAAAATTTATTATTCAAGGTAACAAAACCAGAATTAAATAAACTTAAATGAGTAATATCACACAAGCTGCTTGTGTGATATTACTCAAAATGGTATGAAGTATAGTATTGCAGAGTTTTATGCACTGGTTCTGCTAGATGGAATATAACTGGGGCTATCTGGTCTGTAACGATTTTTTTAATTGTACATAACTATAATTATAGAAAACGTTCTTAAAAAAAGTGAGCACTAGTTGATTAAAAAGAAATATACCATTAATATTGATTAAATTATATTTTATCCATGTAGTATATGCCTCTTTAATTTTTTGATTATGTAATGGTCACCTTGTTTACTCACTTGTTTCGTTGAACTGCCTGAATCTATTTTCGCTTTTGATCAAATTGGTGTAATAATGTTGAGAGACTGTAAAATGTTGTTCCGTGGTGTTCCGGGTAGTTTGAGTTTTGCGTCAAAAAATTGGTCCCGGGAGGCACGTATAGCCGCCCATACTAAAATATGTTAATAAAAAGTTGGTAGGCAGTTTTTTTAGTTTCAAAGTAAAGGAATTTTTCCAATTTTGGTCCGCGGTTATTTCCCCTATCCGCCACCTGGGGTCGCGTCCTATGGGAGTTTGGAGTTCCCCACACGGATTTTCTCAAAAACGGACTACGGAAACACGGAATATCTCAAAAACTGCGACTTTTACTGATTTTGCTGTTATTACAAATTTTGTTGCAAATATTATTCCCAATCTTAAATTGAAAACCGCGTTTCGCTAGCTACTGTAATTTTGGAGTTACGATTTTTAAAAATTTTTAACCCCCTCCCATACCCCCTTTCCAACCCCCTACCCCCACCAAAAACTAATGGCCAGAATCTCGGGTACTACAGTATTTTTGTGCCAAATTTGGTTAAAATCGGTTTAGCGGTTTTTGAGTTATCGTGTTACAGACGGACATACAGACAGATACCATGAAAATATTTTGTACTTAGGTCATTTATGACCCAAATAACTCATTTTTAGTGAAATTAAAAAAACTTTTTTTTGCCGATCTAAAAATATTATTTTTCTTTAAGGGGAACGACCGTTTTTGTGTACGGAATGTGGCAAATCTTTCGCGCAAAAAAGCCACCTGACCTGCCATCTGACAATGCACAGCGACGATCGACCATATTCTTGTACGATTTGCGAGAAGAGTTTCAAAAAGAAAGAACTACTCAAGCACCACACCAAATTACATGGAGGTAAATTGAATTAATCGATAGACAGGTTTAGTACCGTGTTCGATTTTTTGGATTTTATTATAGCTGACTAAAAAAACTACCTAATAACCATTCAGCATTTTTAATATAGTCTGTCCAACAAGTAGGGGACGATTTCGACAGACTACATCCAGAAAATATAAGGTTTGTTCCAATATAACAGAGATCCCGTTCTTGGTGGTATATTATGCGCAGTAGAGAAAATGCGTCCATCAACGAGAGAATTGTTTAATAAACGATAACTTTTGCGCTCCAATCAGAATTATAATCGCTCGTGATTTGAAACGGTGATTTCCAAACCAGCCTAAAAGCAAGAATCAAAAGAACTGCCCCAAGAACGGTAAACTAAAAGGATTGCTCATCCTCATAAGACGTACGTTCGCCTCTTCCCGCGCTTCAGCTGACAGTTGTGACGTCATTGTAGTCCTTGTCATGATAGTGTGTATTATTAGTTGCCTATGGTAAACTTATAAAAATAACAGCCAAGAAATTTTGAGTTAATTATTTTGTCAATTTTAAATGTGAAAAATGTGTTTTTAAAGTTTTTAGAGCTATAGAGTGTATAAATACGTTCATTTTGTGTTGTGGATTGTGACAAAGTGCTTACTAGGTGCCTACGATATTGTTTATTAATTATTTTAAAGCAAAATATGGAAGTACTCTAAAAAGAATGCCTGCAAAAGGTAATGCTGGGAACTTCTGTTCTTAAAAATGCATTATCCGAGTATTTAATACGATGTATACAGTTAATTTTCTATACTGCATACATATAAGGTGTTTAAATAAATAAACTAAATAATGAACGTTTTGCGTCTAATATGCACTAATAACCACGACAAGGACTACAATGACGTCACCATGCGAGGAGTTTTCGCATGCACCTGGAGTACGTTCCACTAAGCACTCATAACGTTCACGCTCAAGATAGCGATTTTTCCCGTTCCACTTAAATTATTTTTTTTGTTAATCTAATAAATATTATTATTAACTATTTTTCTTTCGTTTTAGGGAAAATAAATCCGTACCAATATTAATATGCTTCCCCTAATTCGCGAATTTCAAGTTCCAGAGCTTTAAGCCCTGGGCTACTCGAGAACGGTTCTGAAAGGAGCTGTGCGCGATAGACTGGTGCCTTCGAGCACTAATTTATAGGAAGGTGCTCGAGGGGAAAGAGGATCTCGGAGCGGAATAGTTCTGAACTTTATGACTCAATTGAATGGAGGGGGAGTATCGCGTTCTTGAACAGTTCAGAGCTGCACAACTGCGTGAATGGAGGACAGTAATTACCGAACAGTACAAGCGTACATTACATAAATTTCTGTGTTGGAACAAACCTATAATTTACCTGTGAATTAAAATGACAAACACAACTGTCACTGTCAAAGATCCTTCGCTTGGACCTTTGAATAAGAAGACTAAGGAAGGAGCATATCAAAAATCTTCGATGGGACTCAAATATGGCCGACTTAAATTGCGGTTTATCAGTGCCGTTCTAATTTTATTTAAAAAATGTAAAACTATGATGTAGGGTAGACGTGGGGTAGACTCAATATTTTTTTTATTTTACGTTGTGAATAAATGTTGGCAGTTATTAATATTGTTATAAAAACATATTATTATAATACAAATAGATAAATTTTAATAATTATTTGTTAACACAAACATCTGATACGCTACTGGAGCAGGTAAGTCAAATTGACGTATCTAAATTCTTTGACATCTAATCTTTGACAAGTAGTAAATAAAAGCAAAAATGCAAGAAAAAATATATAATTAGTTAATTTAAGTGAATTTCATAAATTATCAGTTTACTACACGTATGTATATTATATAGCCACTTACTAGCGAAAAGTTGTTCCATTATTTCACTCGATTTTTGCCGAGATCTACCGCACGCTACACAACCAACTATTTTAGAGTCTTTTTCGATAAATCGCGATAGTGTCACTGTTAATTTAAGTTCTGCCACAATTTCCATCTAGATTTACTACCATTATACAACTATCAGTAGTAGAATAAATAATAAATAACATAAAATACGCTCCGTAAAGACTGACAAATCCACAAAATTTCAAATCAAATTCAAATGTCAAATGAATCGTCAAACAGAACTGTCAAGGATCCCCACCCTAGAGTCCTTTTTCCGCCCACCATGCTTGAATACATGGATAGCATTATGTTTCTTCCTTAGTCTTCTTATTTAAAGGCTTGGACAGACTATAAAGAATGTTTTAGCAAAAGTCGAACATACTTTAAATAAAGCCTAAAATTATTAATTTTACTTATTTTAATATGTTTTCAGAGAAAAAATTTAAATGCACAGTGTGCTATTACGAATGCCACAAAAGTTATAGGTTACAGCAGCACATGAAAATGCACGATGGAAAAGTTGACCTGAAAAAAAATATTTGTCAATTGTGTAGTAAAGGGTTCAGTACTGTTTCATTACTGAACAACCACATGACAAATGTACATAATGTTATTGTGTAGATATTATTTTAAATTATTTTTTATTTATACACATTTATTTTTACAAATATATTTTTACAATAATTAGTTATGTATGTTTTCTATATTGTATTCATCTCAAATTTACACAATGGGAAAAAAGTCATTGAATTATCAGAAAAAAAATGTTTACAGATAGGGGACCAAACAAAATTATTTTGACATACGTCATGTGACAAATGTCATAATCCTTTCTACATTCGTTTAGTTTAGTTTATGGAGGGTAGAGTCACCAAAATGGGAAGAATAAAGGTTCACGAAATAACCACAGTGGCGGTAACAATCAATAGGGGATCTTACTTAGTAACTGAACTTATGGTTGATATTAGTCAAAACGGTGACATTAGTCAAAAAGGGCGAGGCAACACACCTTCAGAAATCGCATATTTATCTATCTCTTTAATTTTTTACTGTTAAAAATATGGCGCTTCTTTCAAATGTAGAACTTTTACTACAGCAGCGCCATCTTAAGTGTTCCCTGTTTGATGACCACTTTTCAATACACGAAGATAATGCTCCTTACAGAGCTGCAACAAGTCAGGTTTAGAAAGATTTAAGTCAAGTACATCGTTAAGTCAAGAGTCGTTACTCAAAGTCATTTCTAAAATCAAAAAATGATTTAAGTCTTAAGTCAAATTCAACATAAAGGTCAAATTTAAAGCATTTTATTTCAAGTCAAGTCATTTTTGTAAAGACTTGAATTAATATACTGTTATTTATTAAGTCGTTTTTATGACTTAAGTCTATATTTTTTACTTAAATCATGATGATCTGCAAGTTATGGCAATGGTAAATTGACTTAAATCTTCATAATTATCTTCTCGTCAGTGGCGGCTCGTCGCAAGGTAGGCGGCGCCTACCCTAAAATTTTGGCAGAGTTTAAGCGGTTTATTACATTACATTATTTACTATTGATGTTGCCAATACATAAAAATACTGTTAATACACGGAAGTGTGTTTTAATAATCAATATTATTTTAACATTTGTGGTCTTGTATATTAAAATATTCACTGTCGCTGGCGTACGCTGACTGTGCCGCTGCGTTAGAAAACAAAATAATTTATGATATGTTCGGCGATTTCTGCATCGCCTACTATTAGAGTCGATGCGCGACGTACGGCAGTCTTCTGTCTCTGTCTAACTCATCGTGCGGTAGCGACGCGACGTAAGTCGGAGTTGTATCGTATTAAGGCGGGGCTTAGGCGAAATCTCCGGTCGCCTTCGCATGAAGTCGTGGAGGCTCGGTAGGCTTAGAAGTTAAGGGAATATATCACATTTCGTTAAGGGGATATTTCATATGATTCATTATACGTAGCATTTAAAACTTTTATATGAAAATTCAAAAAACGTTTAAACAAATTGGAAGCATTTTTCGGGCTTGTCCGAGATTGATATAACCGGTTGTATTTCAGAACACGCCACAGAAATAAAAGAATCCGAAATAAAAAAGCGCGTTATTTTATTCGGTGCAAGAAGACGATACAACAAATATTACAGAAAAGTCTCAGTGTGCTATTTCAATTCGATATGTTAATAAAAGCGGCTAAGTCAAATATCTTTGCGAATTTTATTTTATGAAATATTAGATAACATTGTTATACATTTAGAATTAAGGTTTGCAGATAGGTACTCGTATGTCTCAATTATTTTTATTTATCTCTTGCGGATCCGAAATTTAAAGAATCCTATAAAAAATTTCCAACGCATTAACATTTGATTTAACAAACTTGTTATATTGATACATTTCCAATGCATTTAATAGCGGTTTAACAAACAAAAAATGTTATTGACCAACGTAATGAATAAATTGCAAGTATTAATAATAGATACGAGAATTTAGATTATAAAATAATTGAAGGAGAATAATCCCGGAAATATATTTCCAGAGGCTTTCAAATTGTTTCTTTTGTTTGTTACTACACCATTTACAAGTACTTGGGTTGAGAGACATTTTTCATGTTTGAAATGCATTAAAATTTATAGTAGAGATTCCATGAAAAATAAACGTTTATCGTCACTTGCCTTACTTTCAATCTAAAAAGATCTTTTCACAGCTCTTCAACAATCTGATGATTTTACTGATATAATAATAAATAACTTTTCTTTGTTAAGAGACCGACTCATCAATTTAATATATAAAGCATAATTATTCTCTCTCTCAATACTACCAATTTTTAAGTTTGCGTCAATAAATAAAAATAAAATAAAATTCTATGATGTACCTACTCCATAGTAATAGTTTGGTAATAGATAAAAAACATATCTATACTCATGGTACAAAGAATACAAGGTATGATCGATAGCGGCTCCAATTTCGTTCAGTTCGCGCATACCACCTGTGACGTCACTAGGAAAATAATGAATAAATTAAAAATAAAGAAAGTTGACAGGAGATCAGCATTTTTTGGGGTTATGGTTAAGAATTGTTTATTTTTAAGACTTTTTAGTTCGTTTAATTTAATAATTACTAAAAAAATGAGCAGTTCCAAAAATATATTTAAAATAATAATTATCTATTAACATGGATTGGACGATAGGTAAGAATACTAAATTTATTTCTATATTCGGTATAAAATTGTTTATTAGGTTTTTAGTTTGCGATGTTTATGGTAAATAATTTTTTATTTTGATTGCCTCTGAATTCACATGAGGACAGAGTTGAGGATATCTATGGAAAAGTAACCACAAGAGGAATTGTTACATCATTTAAAAAATGTTGGGAAGTTTATTGTTTCCCATCGAAAAGTAGAAAATGCCAATGCAGATGAACGTATTGTAATTGTGATAGAAGTAATTCTAAGGGTGAAGTTTATTATAATTAGTGGAAGTAATACCAAGAGTGAAGTTTATTATAATTAGTGACCTGTGCTTCTTTTTATATGTAGATGTTTCTGGTTTTGAGAATAAATCGGTTGAACGACACCCAAAATTTAAAGGAAGTATTTGCATACCCAGAATATGCCCATCAAGGATTATATAGCTCAAATTTCCTTTAATGGTAGGCAATTATTCAATGCAAATTAACTTTTTAAGAGACTGAAATATTAAATAGTTTACAATATGGTATATCACTAAAAATATATTACTTTTAGGTACAATTAGGGCCCGATACATTTCAAAAAGTAGAATATTATTTTATATTAAATGAGGTATTGTACTAACAATCAATTTATATTAATAACGGAGATTAAAAAATAACAAAATAAATAGTTCTTTTTTTTATACTACAAAAATAAACTATAGAATACAACAGTATTTAAAAAAATAAAAAAAAGTTATGTCCCGGCCGAGATTCGAACTCCGGTCTCTCGTTTCCTAGCCCGACACCTTACGCACTGCTCCACAGTAACTTGCTTAGCGATAATTCAATGACGGTATATAAACAAAAAAACAGGTTTATAACAATTTCTCGACAATTTGAACTGGCGCGCGGAGCGTGCTGACCAATAGCGCCTGTTATCACCTGTGACGTAGCGACCAACCTGCGCAATATCATACCTTGTATTCTTTGTATCATGTCTATACTTGTACATTATGTCAATCATTATGTCATTACGTTGAATGCTGATATTTTTGCTTTAGTTTTGTCCTAAATATTCTTGAACTATGTTTTTAACCCAGAGATAACATATATTTACAAACTAGGTTAGGGTATTATGTAAATTAGGGGAGGGGGGGGGGGCAATAGACGCAACTAAAATTTTGTCGCCTACCCAGTCACAAGGGTCACGAGCCGTGGCGGCTTTACGTCAAGACAACCAGAATTCAATTTATGTACCTTTTTGTAAATGTTAATATTATTTTTTTTGTATTACCAATTAGGCGATTTTCTTAGTATGATAAATATTATTAATTTATTGTAGGTACAGATAAAACTAAAATGACATAAATAAAACGGTTAATTTTCAGAACAACTACAAACACAAAAATATGTTTTTTTTTTTATAAAATTTAACCGATTTTGTAGTACCTTCTTTATAAGCATCCATTACAATTTAGATGTCATCGAATACAAAACTATTAAAAAGTGGTGGTTTGTTTTGATCACTATGTAATATATCAATGGCATAAGCTAAGGGCTGGAGGCAGGGGCGGATACAGAAATTTATTTTAGGGGGGGCCCAAATATAAAATAATGCAAAATATGCCTTTTAGGGCGCCATTTTTAACCCAAAAGCCTAATATTTAACCCAAATTACATATTTCAGGGGGGCCCGGACCCCATGGGCCCCCCCTCTGTATCCGCCACTGGTTGGAGGATTTTAAGGTACTCTTCAATATACTTCGAGATAAATTTCTTTCGTTCGTCTTTCGGGCTACATAACAGAGTCGGGGATTCACTTGAAAGACAACAGATTCGCTACGCACGCGTAACACGACAAATAATTAAAACCGGTTCCGATAAACTAACATTTTATTTGCTAGTGGTATTGAGCATTGTTTTTTTATTCTGCTGCTTGGCTGTCGCCTAACAGTTTAAAAAGAAATGCTGCTGTTAAAAATTTATCTTAAAAATATATAAAAATCTGACTTAAGCCTTTTATAAAAAGACTTAAATTTTTTAATTAAGTCTTTTCTAAAAAGATTTAAATCTTTTTCTATTTAGGAATAAAGATTTAAATCACAAATCATTTTGAAAAAGACTTAAATTTTAAGTCTTAAGTCAACTTACGAAAAATGACTTAAAATCAAATGATTTAAGTCATTAAAATGATGTAAATAAAAAAAAATATTTAGGTTTTCTGTGTATATTTAAAGAAAGAAAACACGGCTTTTAACGTTTTACTATTCTATTATATTAACATTTTAGTTTACAATTTTTTTACAATAATGTTACATTACAACCTAGCTAAAACTTCCCATTCTTTACCTTAAAACGTATTCAGTTTAGCCGCACAACTCCCATGCTTTCTTAAAATTCCTATTTAACTAAGTAAAAGTATTTATATATAAAACAATTCCTATAAAACTAATTATACTTAAAAAAGACTGTTTTAATATTTTCAATTCAGTATAAAAAAATGAGCAGAAATTAAGTATACTG